TTTCAAAATTTAATTATGTAATCCTTACTCAACATAAACAAATAGTATGTGGGAGTGGTATAGAATCGGTCCTCCATTTGCTAGTTTCAGTGCTTGTATTCGATTTTTCATGGATTTGATCAAGTTATCAACAATCGTCTGATCCATATTTTGCCACTGCTTTAGGAATATTTACTTAAGGGTTGCCAGTGACATGATTTTGGTTGCACGCTCTCAAAATTTTTTGGTGAAGGTGCTCCCAGACATGCTCTATTGGATTCATATCAGGATGTTAGGCTACCCATGGCAGTGACTTGATTCCTTGCAATTCCTTCCAGACCTTTGCTACATTACTCACATGATATGGCGTTCCATCTTCTTGATAAATGTAGACATTCTTTTCAATATGATTGGTTTTAAATAGTGGGAGTAGTCCTTTCTCTGATATTTGACAGTGTTTTCAACCATTAAACCACTCATTAACAAGAATCAGCACAGATTTCTCTCCAAACTAAACAGCGCCCCACACCATTACTCCAATCCCTCCATGTTTTATGGTTGCCTGCAGACATTCAGTGTTCCATGTCTAATTCTGATTTCTCCAAAAATAAAACTATCTCAAATTTGAATATTAGAAGAATTTACTTTCATCTGACCAAATTACAGACTGCCAAAATTCTTAATCTTTGTTCTCAGATTCTCTAGTACAGTCCATAGGCTTGTTCCTGTTAACCTCTGAAATCAACAGCTTCTTTCTTGCAACTTGTCTTTGATAGCCTAGTTCTTTCAGTCTTTCTCACTGCATATAGTGATATTTCCATACTGTTGACATCTTTGATGCTATGACGACAGTTTCTGATGATTTCCATCTTCAGCGCCCTTTTCATGCACATGATGCTTGGTCTTTTTGAATGATGTTCCACATGACAATGGCCTTCTTCATTAAATTTCTTGACAATTTTATTAACCATTTGATGATTAACCTGGAAAATCCTAGCAATTTCTATTTCAAGTCTCTTTGACTTCCCATACTGATGCCATCCTATTATTTGCCCTTGTTGAAAGTCAACTATTGTTCATAAATTAGAGTAGCTTGATACTAACACGGTATTGTCCGAAGAAAAAGAAGATATTTTATTACACAAGCCAAAATTGGTGTAAATAAGGATGGCTAAAAACTTATCAGTCCACTGTATATATATATATATATATATATATATCCTTTAGTGTAAGTAAAATAGTGCTCAATGTAAAATAACAGTGCTATTAAGTATATATTAATAAATATAAATAATACTCCATTTTGATAGTATGACTCAGAGTTTCATGCACCACACAATCATCAGTTACTGGGAGCTGATCCCAGTCTCATCTTGTTAATATTTCTGGGTCTTGTGGTTTCATGGTGTTACTTGGATAAGTTATTACTGTTGTTAAATATTTACTAGTACAATAATCTAAATTTGAATTTAAATTTAAACTTACGCTTATATATATATAGATATATATATATATATATATGTATATATAAGTGAACATTGAAGTCAATACTTAGAGGCAATAGGATGTTTCATGCTAGCTGCATCTAGCCTGTAACAGCCTGTAACCTCTAAGTGTTGACGTCAATGTTCCCTTTTATATTTACACATGATCTATCTCAGATATTGAGCACTTTATCCCATAAATATAGCACACCTTAAGAGATATTTTCTCTCTCTCTCTTATCTATATATATATATATATATATATATATATATATATATATATAGAGAGAGAGAGAGAGAGAGAGAGAGAGAGAGAAAGAGAGTTTTGTATAAGTTTCTCTGAGAAGAAAGTATGTTTGTCATTCTTTTTCCTTTCAGCCATTTTGTTCTGTCCTGTCTGTGAGCTATAGAGTTGTTATATCATGGATATAACAATGTCCATAATGGGAGAAATGAAATGGGAGAAGAAAATATTCTTCCCTAGCTTTCCACTCAGTACATAACCATTGTTTTCAGTTTGCTTAGAAAAGACCACTCATGAAAGAAAGGTTTAACAAATGACTTCATTTATAAAAATGGCAAAGAATATTGATGTAAAAAAAAAACAACAACAATTGTCCCCTTCATAAGGTTCTGAAAACATAATAGGAGTTATATCCAAAAAAAGAAATATAAAATTTAGTATAGTGGACAATATAAAGAGAGAAGGGTTTATATAACCTTATTCAGGATGATAATCAAATAATAAATACTGAATACTTCTTTCTAATCATTTCCCCATAGCAAGGTGATAATGCTATTAAAACACAAGGGGTTAATGTAAGTGAAAGGGAATGAGAAGAATTTAGTGAAGAGAAAGGACAATAAAATAACAGAATTCAAGGAGATAGAAGATTGTGATTGATGCTGTGTTTAAAGTTTTGAAGATTGTAGAAGCAAGAAACTGGAAGAGTCTTCCGGAGATGAGAAAAGAAATTATTAGAATAGAATTTATGGTTATATCTAGCTAATTCAACAGCAAAATAATGAGACCAATCTTGGAATAAACTTCAATTTATGCGGTTGAGGTACCAAGAAGGAAAGCTCGTTAGAATGATGAACATGAATATATTTAGAGAAAAGACAGAGGGAAGACAAATCACAGTGGTTGGAAAGTGACGGAAGTCGAGATGCCAGGTCAGGACTGATAACATTACAGACCCTACTCTGGATTTTGTTGAGAATCTCAAGATATATAGCAGAAGCACCAGTCCAGATATGGCAGTAATAGTCAATGCACGATCAAATGGTATATTCATAAATGTGTAAGATGAATTCAGACGAAAAGAATTGTCTGGCAGGAACCAATTTTTCTACCAGTAGATCTAGCAATTGATGCAATATAATCCCTCCATATTTCCCTAGTGCCTCAACTACATGCATTTAAGCATATTACCTGCTGTCAATTCATATTTATAAGAAAATTTTGAAAGAAATCACACATTGTAATGGTGAAAATATGTATAAGACAAAGAAAAAAAAAACATGAAAAGGAGACTTGATAATAATTAAAAAGGCATTTATTTTAGCCATAAAACTTTAATTACATGTTTTTTGTATTGAGTATACAAAGCTTCAAGAAGAATTTCAACCCTTGATACAAGAGAATAAGCAGTTCCTTAATCATTTTAAAATGATACTCCATAAAATGTCACTGGGGTTGAAATCTGGGAAACTTACAGTTCAGTTTGTAACCATGATGCACTCTGCATTGAAACTATTTATTGTTGACCATAGCATTGTGAATATCTGAATTACCTTGCTGAAATGCAGGCATCTTGAGTTAGAGTAATGGTTAATGAGGCTAATTTGATTATTTATTATTACTGAGTGGTGAGTTCAATTCTCACTGGGTGCACTATTCAAAATTCAACATTAAATGACCCAATGAAAGTTGATATGTCATAAAAGCTACCAACCAACAAAACATCCAAGTCTATACAAATTTTTATCAGTTTACACACCTCCCCTTAAAGAAATCAAGATTAGTCTGAGTTAGGTTGGGTGATCATTACACTTGAGTGTTGCCTTTGATCCTCATTGGGTATCTAATATACAATTCAACATTAAATAAACCAACAAGTGCTGAAATGTGGCAAAATCAGCTAATCAAGAAACCATGTAAGTCTAGTCATCTCTCAGCTTATACACCTCACCAGGGAGAAATGGTTAGTTTGATCCACACTAGGTGGCACATACAAAATTTGACATTAAATAACCCAACAAGGACTGACATATAAAACCAACCAACCATTGATATATGTCTTTACATATCTATCTTTCTATGTGCTTCTATGTAAGGAAATATTGGTTGTTTTTGTTTACTGGCATATCAACACAACTATGGGTTATGTAATGCCGAAATCTAAATATTTTGGATGCAATTTTTTTTCTCTTTTTCTTCCTCATCGACATGATGTGGCTTCCCTCGTTCTTTTCTACAAGTATTTTCATTGCAGCTACTTTACAATTTCTTTTTCCCTGGTGTCCTGACTACATGAATTTAAGCATCCTACTAGACTGGCATCTACTTTTACTGTTGAAGAAGCTAAATGCAACCTCCACTTCTACTCCAGCAGTTTCTTTTTTCACCCTTATTAACAGTGGAACTCCCTTCTGTTTACTTGCTTCCCTGATAACTACAATCTTCAAAAATTTAAATGCAATGTCAATCGTCATCTTCTCTCTTCTTGAATTCCGTTCATCTTTTGTCATTTCCTCAATCCTTCCTATAATCAGGTTTTTTCACTCATTTTCTTTCTATGTAACACCCTGCATATTAGTAGAATTCCCACCTTGCTTGGGGTGAGATTATTAAAAAAAATCCTTTATCTTGAGTGGCATTTGTTGGATGAGTTTTAATATTAAAAATCTCATTTATCTCAGATATTATAATGGCAGAAACTAATAGCACCTTTTTCTTTTTAAGCAATTCACCCCAAGCAAGGCAGGAGTGCTACTAGCATGCAAGGGGCTACAGAGGATTGAGAACAAGAGTAAAGAGGCATGTTTGAGGAAAGGATACAGAGAAGGATCGGGAACAAGATCAATGTATCAGAAGATGTTGATCGACATTACATTTGAATATATTAAGATTATAGTTATCAGGGGAGCAAGCAAGAGGGAGGGAGTTCCATAGACTGGAAGTGCAAGAGAAGAAGCTGTTTGAGCAGAAGAGACAGTTAAATTAGAATTCAAAGCTGTTGAAGTTGCTTGAAGAATTTGAGAGGTGGAAGTAAATGAAACAATACCTGGCAAAGCATTTTAAGGTTGGTGACTTATTTTTTATTATAAAATCAAGTGGTTGTTTGTCAAATGCTTAGTGTGATTCTTTAAAATGCCAAGTTGGAATGAAAACTACCCACGAGTACTTAAAAATCTTTCCTAAAAGCATTACATAAAATTACTTAAAGAGCAATACCTGAAGAAAAATATGATTACTATATGTCTTACTTTAAGAAGGATTTAAACCTACATAGACTACATGCCAAAACATTATTAATTTGTCTCCTCAACTTTAAAAGTCATTGTAACAATGTCTGTCAGACCAGCCTGGATGATATCCCCTTTAGCCACTGGTCCCACACCAGATGGTGTTCCTGTAAGTATTAAATCACCTGGTTCCAAAGTGAAAAATTTGCTGAGATATGAAATCAAATAAGGAATGCTAAAAATCATGTCCCTCGTATTGCCTTCTTGGCGCAACTGGTCATTAACTTTAAGCCAAAGGTCAACAGAATTTGCGTTCTTGATTTCATCCTTGCTCAAAAAGCGACTTACAGGGCAGGAAGTATCAAAACCTTTGGCCAGTGACCATGGTTGACCTTTGCTTTTGGCTTCATCTTGGAAATCTCTGGCCGTCATGTCTAGTGCCAACATATAACCATCAACATAATCCATACTAGATTCCTCTGGTATGCGACTCCCTTTAGTTCCAATCACAACAGCTAGTTCGACTTCATGGTGCAATTTTTGGCAACCCTCTGGAATCTGGAAGAGAAATCAAAGGATATCTTATTGAAAGAGAAGTGAGTGTTTCCAGAGAATTCAAATAATTAAATTCTGCTTTTGATCAATGTGGAGTAATTGGCCATGGTTGAGTGTAACTGACTAAAAATAAATGGATTTGATAAATTTCTCAATAAAAAATAAGAAAAGGAAGAAAAAGAATAGGGCTAAATAATACTAAGCAAACAATTTATAACAGGAGAGAACTATGGAATAAAGATTTATTATCCCATTTGTATTTCCCCTTGGGATTATCATATCTGTGATATAATAAGACTGCATTTCATGGATGAGACAGTATGGCTGAAATGAAAAGGAATGATAAGCATGCTTTGTTCTCAGAGAGACTTCTATACTACTAAGACATACATAAAACTATATACATCCATATACACACATATTGCACACACAATATATCGCAGGGGCGGAGATGGGACTAGTGCTACTCGTGCCCGGCACGACCAATAACTCGGTCAATGTTATTCAAAATGGATTAAAATCATCCATTAATTTCAAGCAAACATACTTAGGCTGATCTCAATTAAATTACGATTCTATTCAAGTTTCGATAACTAAGTAGCCAAAAGTTCATAAATATATCTGGGAATAATACAACGATGTTGTTTTTTGAACGGATGGCCACCGTCAGATCTATTGAACATCCCATAATATCGCTATAATGTTGAACACGCCATAATCCGTGCCAAGCACAAGAAAAGCTTATAATAACAAGTAATGTTAGAGAAATCTCGCTTTTGGCTGTAGCCAATGGTGGCAAAATCAAGTCGAAATACCGTGCTCAGAACAATTAGCACATTGTGACTGCTGATGATTGTCTTGGAAAGAGAGAGAGAGACCGAGAGAGAAAGAGAGATAGAGTAGTAGTAGTAGTAGTACGAATAGATGTTTGTAAACATAACCACGTTTATTTATATTGTAAATATCAGTGATGAAGTTATTGTTTCATTAATTAATTAATAAAGAACAGGTTTTGAATAAGAGTGAATTTGTTTTGTTTTTTTATTGAGGAATGTTTTTTTTCGTGAATTTTGAATCATAGAAATCTACGAAAAATACTATTAATATAAAATAATAATATTAATATAAAATGACATACAAACCGTATTTTTCAGAGATTTCTATGATTCAAAATTCACGAATAAACCATTCCTTAATAAAAAAACGATTGTGAAGTGCTAATAAAAAATCAATCATTTAATTATTTTATAATTCCATGAGACAAATGACCTGGAGAGTTGTGGACTTAATTGCTAACCTGGTTAGTTGTCATTGTCATCAATTTCTTTTTTCTAATAAAGATATTTTTTCGTCATAGTAATGAACATCTTCTTTTTCTTCTATACTTTTGAAAGGAAAAAAAACTTATCTACTGTATTAACAAGACTACAAATTATATAGTATCTTGATTGTTTACAAAAAACCACCATGCAAGGTACGTTAGTCAATCTGTGCTATACAATGGAGAATCACGCAATAGCAACTATGATGACTTACTTTGGGTCCACGGACCACGGGTTGGGAACTGAAGTTGACAGAGGGGGGGCACGAGTAGCAAAAATAGGCTAGAGTCGCCACTGATATATCGCATATATAAAAACAGCAAATATATATATATGGAGAAACTACTGTGTCTGGAGAAGCCATGCTTAGGACTCCAGAATCAAATAAGCCAGATTCATCTACTATATACCAGGTGAGGACATATTCCATAGACAGGGAAACAGCAAGTCTTGGATTTTCCCAAATTGAGGACTATGAGCTGCCTCTATGATTTATGACTATGATTTAGCCTCTGCCTGGGCCATCGGGGTGGCTCGGTTAAAGAAAACCACCTTTCAGTTTGGCTGCTGTAAACAAATGGAAATTAACTGCCACTTTTATCACTGTTTAGAGTTATGTCACTCAGCGGCTGTCAAGTGACCCATGTCAATTATCTCCACCAAAGGGAGATAATCACCTTCTGTATTCATACAAATATATATGGAAGTCAAAACGAAGCAAAGCAAAGGGTAAAAAGTTCTCAAAATAAAGAAGGGAATGCAGTCAAATGATTATAGCGTTCTGACTTCAAGAAAAGAAAGACCATAAATAAGACTGAGAACTGGTTCATTTTTATTAGTTCAGAAGAAATCACAGCATAATAATAATAATAATAATAATAAAAATCAACCATAATTAAGAGAATTGATGATGGGAATGTTAGCCACATAACCAACAACTTGTGGTCTCTTGAGGTTTCTGGTTGAAACTTTGTGTAGAATAATTGTACATGGTGAAGGGATCTTAGCAAAAATGCACAACAAATGGAATTGATAAAATTTCCTATACACAATATCAAAAAAAAAAAAAAAAAAAAAGAAAAGAACAGGCAAGAAATAATACTAAGCAAACTATTTATATTAAAGACAAAAGTAGGCAAAGCAACAATAATATGGTAAAAAGTTCTCAAAGTAAGAATGGTGTTAACACGCAAAAGGGATACAGACGATTGTAGTGTTCTGACTTCAAGACAAGAAAGAACAAAAAATATGCTGGATAAGATAGAGAAGTAGTCTATCTTATTGGCTAGGAAGAAATCCCAGCATGCATCTGTATGATTTGTCTGTAGATTTGTCTATAAATTTGCAGTCAATCCTACCAGTATAGGAACCGGCAATGGCTAATACTGTCGATACCATTATCATAGACACACATATGTGTGTGACTTTTGTTATGATATATCATATATTGTTTAGTTGCAATGAGTATAAGAGGCGTCTCTTCATTTTAATATCAATCTTTTGACTCAAAAAGAAGAGGAAAAAATTATACTAAGCAAACAATATATATGGAAGTCAAAACTAGCCAATGTAACAGTAACATGATAAAAAGTTCTCAAAATAAAGAAGGGATTGCATTCCAGTGATTATAGCATTTTGACTTCAAGACAAGAAAGAACAAAAATGAGACTGAGAACTGGTTCATTTTTATTGGTTCAGAAGAAATCACAGCATAATAATAATAATAATAATAATAATAATAATAATAATAATAATTATCAACCACAATTAAGAAAATTGATGCTGGTAATGTCAGTCATATAACCAACCACTTGTGGTCTCTGGTTAAAACTTTGTGTAGAATAATTGGCCATGGTGAAGTGATATTGGCAAAAATGCCCAACAAACAGAATTGATAAAATTTTCAATAAACAATAACAAAAAAAAAAGAAAAAGAAAAAAACAGGGCAAAATAATATTAAACAAACAATATATATGCAAGCCAAAACTAGGCAAAACAGTAATAGGCTAAAAAGTTCTCAAGGTAGAAAGAGAATACAGTCAAGTATCTAGACAAGAAAAAACAAAGATGAGACAGAGAATTGGTCCAGTTTTATTGGTTTGGAAGAATCCCAGCATGCAGTTGTAGGATTTGCCTATAAATTTGGAGAAGGACATCCTTAGCAAACATTCATAGAGACTGGAACCAACAGTCAGAGAAATGAAACAATAACTTTTATTCAATTTATCTTACTGTGATCTAATATAATTGTTCTTGGGGGTGGGTGGAATCTGTGATGCTAACTCAAGAAGTGTCCTTCAAAACAAGGTCTCCACAGAGGAAATAAAAAATTTAAATTTTTGAAGATCAAAGTTGACTGAGAAGCAAGATGCCAGAAGAGAAGTCCACAAACATAAAGTGCAATATAGAAACTTTTAACATAGAACTTACAGCTACATCTAGTCATTTCAAGTGTAAAATGATGAGACCTTTCTGCAACACTAGTATTATGCTTAAATTCATAACATCTAGGTACCATAGAGGAAAGTAATATTTATTTTGAAAATACAAAAATGTGGAACAAGGCCAAAATGGGGGTGGGCATGGGAAGGCTGGTCTTCAATCTGTCTTATCTTAAACTAAGCTAGCCAAATTACTGACCCAAACATACCACAGTATTCCTTACATCAAAACACATTCTTACTTACCATTCTTACTACAGCCACCATAATACCTTAAGTCTTTATGAAATCCTAACTAGTTCTCATATGTACATTTTGTCTTTTGGGGGTGGGAATAAAAAAAACAGTCTTTTTAAATATGAACCCCAATAGAGGAAAGTTTGTCAGAACAATTCCCATGAAAATATTTATAGAAAAGGCACAGGGAAGCTACTTTATGGCAGTGGGAAAGTGACTGAAGCTGAGATGCCATGTTAATACCAATAAAACTGCAGATTTTATCAAGAATCTCTAAATGTATAGCTGCAGCAATAGACCATATGTGGCAGCAATATTCAAAGCATGGACAAATGGTAGAATTCTAAATGTATAAGATAGATTCTGGAGAGAAAAATTGTCTAGCACGATACAGTGAACCATCTTACCTAGTAGCAGACCTTCACCATTTTTCTTTGTTTCTAACAAAGATTTCCTGTTTCTTAATATGAGCTATACCAAATAGTTTCAATTAAGGCATTTGGGGAGTTAGTGTTTACCTAGAAAATTAGTTTTACAAGGGTTATAATTTACATGTTAAATTTGTATGACAGATAAAGTTCCTACCTTGATAGAATGCCCTTCAGTTATAATAGAAGATGGTGGTTTAAAAAATACAACAGGTTTGCTTGGTACGGGGTTTCCCAGTTCAACAGCATGTTCACTAAACAGAAAAAAGAAATTGTCTGTGTACAAGATTTTGTTTTAGTTGAAACCTTGATGCAACATTACAGTCTGAAGCCATTAATTTGGAAATAAATAGCCTCAAAAAAGATTTGAACTTGGATCCAATTGTTTGTGGGAAATTACAATTTTTATGTTTTAAAAATCTTTTTATAGCTAGTCAACAGTTAGCAAGTATAACTTTGGGTTTCTTTATTGCTTTGTGTGGATGATAATGGTTATTGGTGTGAAAAGTGGAATTATCGAGATGCGTTCAAGATCTTCCCCAGTCTGTAGCATTCACCTTTGCATAAAGGCTCTTGGTAAAGGTATGAATCCAAATCTCTTCTGCTCCAGCTATGGGTTAAATAGCAGGCTAGAGTTGGCTTTCTAAACTGGAGAAAAGAATGACTTTGAATTCAAAACTGTGGAGAAGGCAATGGGAAATCATAGAATTATCATTATCAAAAAGTCATGACAGTTCTCAGGTAATTTAAAAAAAATAAAGAATATGTGAAGAGCCATGAACCTCAGTTACAGCATTAAAAAAATATTAAGTAAAAACTAAATTAAACTTTGAGTGAGTTGTCATTTGAACAATAAGGCCAAGAAACTAAGGTTGATAGAAGGATATGTCTCAACATTCAATAGTAATAAATTTTCTTTGCAAACAAGATGAAAATGATTTTAAAAAATTATATAAAATAAAAATAAATATACAAATGAAAAAACATAACTGAGTCTTTGAAAAAAGGAAATTTATGAGAGCATTCATCTTTTGCATCATTGAATGTCATTGATCTTGTCCAAATTTAAACCCTGTGCCATATTTGTCTAAACCAAAGAACATCTTTTTGGCATAGTAAAGGAAAAGGGCTCTACTTAAACAGATTGTTCCCCCAACAAAAAAAAAAAGAAAATTTCAGCAATTAATCATTTTGCCCACAAAAAAAAAAAAAAGAAAAAAAAAAAGAGAGTGTGTCAAAAGGATATTTATTGTCTTGACACCATTAATGGGAGCTGGGTGAACTATAGAAGAAAGATTCATTCCATTATAGGCATTATTATGTAACCATGAGATAATAGTGCCATATTTCATGGGTGGAACAGAGTAGCTGGAAAAAAAAAACTGATGCCAAACATGCTTTGTTCTCTAAGAAAAATTATATATATATATATTTATCTGTTTCCCACACAAAGAAATTATATCACTTGTCTTCAATAGTAAGCAATGTTTAAAAGAGAGAGCTTGTAATATTTCCCAAATGGAAAACTGGAGTTAGAGAAGTTTCTCTATGAAACTGCTGAGGCCATGTGGTTTTTTTTTTTTACTGTAAGATCTACTACTCTGGGCTAGGGATGTCCTCCTTCTCCAGGCTTTATGTTGCAATTACCCATTATCTCTATCGCCTGGATTTACTCACTGGCTATCACGTGACCGTCATGTCTTTATCTCAACGAAAGGGAGATAACCGCCTTTTGTATTCCTACACCATTATTACTGTATATGCTTTTAACTACCTCGGCAATGTTTATTAGTGTAAAAATCAAAGATTAGAATTTTAATAAAACACAAATATATGAAATTTATTCACTCTCTTTGTTCTTAAGAATTGATAACAAAGATATTAAACACTATTTATTTATTAGATTGAATAAAAAAATTGTTTTCATAATTATTTATAAAATGGTAAATAATAAATATGGTATTGTAGTTATGTTGCGGACCCGGTAGGGTGTAGTGCTGGATTATACTGAGTGGCCTTGTGCCAGACACCACACTAAACTACCGAGTCTACAAGCAAAGTAAAAAGATAAATATGCGTGAATGAACAATGAGGAAAGGGGTCAATCAACAAGTGCATAATTTAAATGGTATTAAGATAGCCGAAATAAAAATGACAAAGACATCTGTTTATAAAACATGAGTAAACAAAACTTTAATTAAACAGTAACAAGTAACTCATCCCAAGGTAGGGATCAATGAAAAGTGTTCCGCGCCAAAATAGAAATACAAGATGGCCAAAGGCGGGAAAAGAAAGTTTTACAGTTCCGGAAAAAGAATGTGCGCACAGATAGAAAGGAGTACTCACTGTGGATATTTTAAGTTGTAAGTGATTATGCATATTTTTAATGTACAGGTTCAGAGTTATAAAGAATGTTCGGTAAACATTGAATTGACCGCTGGTAAATGTTCTGGACTGCTGTGGGGCATCTAGCCGGGAAAAAACGAAGCATGGTCTTGTAGAATGGTTTACGGCGAGCCCAAAGAGAAAGACGAAAAATATTTGTTCAAAGGTAATATTGCGTTGGCCGCTGGTAAATGTTCTGGACTGCTGTGGGCATCTAGCCGGTAGAAACGAAACATGGTCTTGTAGAATGGTTTACGGCGAGCCCAAAGAGAAAGACGAAAAATATTTGTTCAAAGGTAAACTATCCCTGCCTGTATTATTTGGTTCGAAGCCAGGGGTAAGTTTAAGTCACCTGTTGAACACGAAGTTTCTGCCGACGAGTGTCGTGTGTCTCTAAAAACGTCTTCTGGTAGAAAACGGAGAAAAAAGGTCCTGACCTGTGATTAGCAATTTGTTCGTTCAGTAGGACATCCCTGCCTATACTTATTAGGCCCCTGTCGAGGGATAAAAATACGCCATTAGTTGCATACGAATTTTTGCTCGCGACAGTGTCGCGTATCTCTAAAACATCTTCCAGTGGAAAACGGAGAAAAGGTCCGACCTGTTGGCAGCTTCAAAAGGAGAAAAGTCTTGGTAGAGGGTGCAGTCGACATTGTTGAAAAATAAGATATTCCGGCCCGCATATGGATTAAGGGCACGGAATAAATGAGTTGCCCGTCTACTCAGGTTGAGGACCGGGAAACAACTGGCTGCAAACGCTGGCCGTTTGAGACGCCGCGAAAAGCGCGGGAAAAATTCAAAATCTATCATGAGTTAATCAGTAGCAGCTAAAAGGAGCTTACTGCTATGTTTAGCTGTGAGTGAAAGGTAGGGGTGAAAACACGCGCGCACACACGCACGAGTGTGAAAGGAAGGGAGGAAACTCGCGCGCGCGTAAAATTATAAATGGAATTAATGTTAATTCCATAGTTACTTCACATATCTTTTGTAAGTTTTTGTAAATTTTTGAATAAAAAGATTTCTTTTCAAATTTATTTCTTTATAAAATGGTAAATAAAATTTTATAAAAAGTAAATAATAAATACTTCATTTTACTTGGTTCACATATTTTTATAATCTTATAAATAAACATTGCTGAGGGAGTCATAAGTGTATACAGTAATAGCGGCTCAAGAGAAGAACTGTCCTGTTAACACACCGTTTTTTCGGTGGGCATGAATGTTAAACATTGCTGAAATTACTTTCAGATAATATTTTTCAGAGATTAGCATTTATTAGGCCTCCCTCAAGCTACATTTTTCAGAAGAAAAGAATACTGAATTTTATCCATTTAGAAACCAGGTTCCGTTCATAATATCAACATATAACATAATGGATGTATAGTTGTTAATGTAAATTACCCCATTGTTATTTGTATTTGTAGTTGATAAAGAATTCCTTTTCTCTATTTTTTACTGAAAATGAAATACAAAGATAACAATAATAAAATGTTGAGATACGTGTTGACATTAACGACAAGAATGTGTATTATTTTTTCGTATAGATAATTACAATATTGGTATTTTGTATGTTAAAAATGTTCTCAGTGTTATTGTCTCTTTTGTTTCTTTAAAAGTTTGTGCTTACTTTTTACTGCTTGTTCCAAGAATTTCATTGTTAAAGGTAGTCTTTGAAACTGTCAACTGTTGATTTTCAGGGAGCGATGGTGATACATCTGTGTTGTTCATTTTTACTACTGTTACTGTCACTGTTACTTTGCTAATTTCACTTGTGGTGGAAAGGTCGTTATAATGATGAAGTTTCAAAATTTTAGAATGATGAAATATCATCATCATATATCATTACTGGTGGCAAGGTTATTTTAGAATGACAAAATATTTATCTTTATTTCATGGTTGATGAATTATCTTTATCATCCATCATCACTTGTGGAAAGGTTTTTAGAATAATGAAATATCATCATCATTCTGGATCATATCAAACAGTAAAAACTTGATCCTTGACTTTTACAGAATTATTGGACTTAGCTCTTATTTACAATTGTCAAGTTTGAAACCGTACTTACATGACTAAGATCTACATATTGCTTTTCTGAATTAATTTTTTTAAACCTTTTTTGTGGGAGAATTATTTTCAGAAGCACATGCATAAAAGGGATAATAATTATTTAGCTTAAAAGAAGAATAAATGGATATGTATTTTCATTGATTTATGTACATTTTTGTTATTTAATTAAAAATGTATATATCTGTTTTTCTTTATTTAAAAGAAATCTTTTGTTTAAAAAAAAAAAAAATGAAGTTTCTAATGACAACAAAACATCTAGGTGCAGATAACTCTGTAATGTCCGGGAGCGATTTATTTAGTTTTACTTTTACCATTTACCTTTTTTCGATTATGTTTCCTCTTTAGTCTTACTCTTAATAACATCACAAAAATATTGATGATACAAGTTTTTCATCTTCGGGACATTTTTTTCTTGATGTAGGCCTCATTTTTTAACGATTTTCTTGTGATACCTACTAAAACACAGCTGAAGATGAATAGAAAAAATAAAAATTACTAAGACAACACGTGATCTCTAAAGTTGTTATATAATTAAATTAATTATTATTTTGTTTCCATCGCCGACGAAGCCAACGGTTTTCGTTCGAACACAGACAATTTTCGGGAGTTCACATGCTAATCTTCGAAGCAAAGCCTTCTCTACTTAAAAAAAAGGTGGGGGGGGGGCTTGCGTAACATAATCATCGGATACCATTTACCTTCGAGCAAATGAGAAATCATAGGCTAAGAAAATAATTACTGAACTTTTTAACTAAATGCAAACTACGAATAAGTTCAAAATAAAAGGTTATTAAACATTTAATTCATCTATTAGATAAAATTTTAAAATCATTTAGCAAAATTATTAATATTTATAACAAAAACTAGGATTTGTAAATTTTTAAATCTATAGGATTTTTAATTTTTTAAATTTTGTTCAAGGTCAGTTTCCTTTTTTCAATAACAAAAAAGCAATCTACGCGAAATTAAAAATGACAAAATATATTTACATGCTGACGACTTCTGAATTGTATAAAAACTTCATAAATGCTTTCATAGGAGTAAATGATATTATAAATAATAACCAAGTTTGATTCTTACCTATAATTTCGACCGATTGCAATAACTTTTCGACACAGTTGAAGATAGCGTGACATGTTGGTTTTTTGAAAAATAAACAAATTCATTAACTCCCTTAGATATGAGGACTTTAATAAGTTATCTCCCTTGTATTGGTGATTTTTATTTTTTAAACCTATTTTGTTTTATTTAATTTATTGCGGACCCGGGAGCGTGCAGTGCTGGTTTATTACAAAGTGGCCTTGTGCCAGACACCACACTAAACTACCGAGTCCACAAGCAATGTATAAAAAAAAAAAAAAATGCGTGAATGAACAGTGAGAGGAAAAGGGTCAATCAACAAGTGCATAAATTAATACACATCAAAGAGATAGCCGGAATAAAATCACAAAGACGTCTGTACTGTAAAACATATGTAACTTTTATTTGATGGAAACAAGTAGATTATCTCGTGGTACGAGATCAAGGAAAAGTTCCGCGCCTAAATAGGAATGCAAGATGAACAAGGCGGGAAAAGGGTTTTATAAGGTTCTGGAAAAGGGAACTCGTTAAACACGAGGTGTATGTGCGCACAGATAGAAAGGAGTACTCACTGTGGATTTTTGGCGTTGTGAGTGATGTTATGCATATTTTTAAGGTACTGGTTCAAAGCAGATTAGAGTCCAATGAATTGAGAGTGTATGTGATTTTGTGTTTTTTCTTTTTTGTTCAGGTTCAAAGTAGGGTCTCAGAGTTCGGTCAGGTCTTGAATTAACTGTTGAAAATTTTAACGGAATGCTGTGGACGTCTAGCCAAAAGGACGAAGAGCTAGTTGCGGTTGGTTGCATCGTCTATGAGAAATTAATTATGGCGAGTCCAGAAGGGACGAAGAATATCTGTTCGTCAGTAAGATATCCCTGTCTGTATTTACTATTGACTGACGAGGGATAAATGTAAGTCACCTGTTGAATACGAAGTTTTGCCCACGACTGTGTCGTGTGTCTCGAACGTCTTCTGGTCGAAAACGGAGAAGGTCTAACCTGCGGGTAGCAAGTTTGTTCGTCAATAAGATATCCCTGTCTGTATTTAAAGTTTGGTTCACTGACGAGGGATAAAAATAAGCCACTTGTTGAATACGAAGTTTTGCTCACGACTGTGTCGTGTGTCTCGAACGTCTTCTGGTCGAAGACGGAGAAGGTCTGACCTGCGGGTAGCAAGTTTGTTCGTCAATAAGATATCCCTGTCTGTATTTAAAGTTTGGTTCACTGACGAGGGATAAGTTCTGCTTGCGACTGTGTCGCGTCTCGAACGATGTGTCTCAAACGTTTTCTGGTCGAAAACGGAGAAGGGTCTGACCTGCGTGTAGCTTCAAGACGAGAAGAAGAAGTCTTGGTAAGGTTGTTTGTCTGTAGGATATCCCTGTCTGTATTTACGATTGGTTCACTGACGAGGGATAAGTTCTGCTTGCGACTGGGTCGCGTCTCGAACGATGTGTCTCAAACGTTTTCTGGTCGAAAACGGAGCAACTGGTTGACCTGCGGGTAACGTTAAGATGAGAAGAAATCTTGGTAAATAAGTGTGGGGTCAACATCGTTGAGATAAGATATTCCGGCCCGTCATATGGGTTAAGGGCACGGAATAAATGAGTTGCCCGTCTAGTCAGGTTGAAGATCGGGAAACAACTGGCTTGCAAACGCTGGCCGTTTGAGACGCCGCGAAACGCGCGGGAAAAAATTCAAAATCTGTTAGTCTGACTTCATCAGTAGGAGCTAGCGAAGTTCTTCCTCCAGGTTACTGCTACGTCTAGCTGTGAGAGGAAGGAAGGGGTGCAAACCGCGCGCACACACGCACGAGTGTGAAAGGAAGGGAGGAAACTCGCGCGCGCGTAAAATATAGATGGATTTAATGTGTTAATTCCATAAATTAACTACCAATTGCAAAAATTAAAGAATCGAAGGACTTAAAGATTTTATTGTGCCCATCTATTATATATCGACAAGAGACCGGACAAGAGGTAAGGAACAGATCAAGTAAAAAAGCGCTAGAATTATTAGGGAAACGCGTAGGTTAATCTGCAATTTGACTGAGAGATTGAGCAATTGAGAGATTCAAACTTGATGCTGACAAGATCAGTGGTATTAAAATGAAGAAACCATTTCTTATGATGAGCATTGAAATCATCAAACATAAATATCTTTGCAGATGAATGTTGAGAGAAAGCCTCGCACACATATCTGAAAGCAATGACTTTCTAACTGGTCAGGTTGGTATTAAGTTTGTTGATTTGAATCATCCAACAACAAAGAAAAAGCTGAAAAATGTGTTTAAAATGTAAAACATTTTTATTTTCATGTTTTTACAACTAAATTTTTCTTAACGTGTATGAGTGTTAAAGTTTTTACGGTCTTTGTTGTTTGTTAAGATGAAAAGAAATGTGATTTTTTTTGTGTGTTTGCGTGAGAAAGAGGCAAGAGAGAAAGTGAGAAGGAAAGTGTAAGCGTTACGTAGCTTGGTGAGAAAAACGGGTGAATAAGTAAAGAAATTTCTTTTAAATCGTGTGCGTTGTGAACTGTTGCCGTATGTTGCCGTTCCTTCTCCTTTATAAACAAGTAAATATATAGGTTTCTTTTTTTTTTTTTCTGTGATCTCCCCACCTACCAGCACTGGAGCAGAGGAGTCGTGGCTATAACATTTTTTTTTCCTTACTTAGATTAGGTGATCCTATTATTTTAATCGATAGAATACAAAAATTGGTAAGGAATTTCAAATAAACAGTACGAGATAATTTTGTAATGAACGATTTCGTAAAATTAATGTAAATGGGAGATAGGATTTATGCTCGCGTGTGTGTATGTGTTTGTAAGTACGTTTACTACATTTATATGTAGAGGCGTGAGCGTGCATATATTTTTCTAATTTCGTTTGATTAAGAGTATAAGGTTAGACTTAATTATATAATAGTAAGAATAATGAATTTTTTTTAGAAACAGTAATATAAGTTGTAAGTAAGGTTTAGTTATCGAATTATGGGATTGGTATTTAAAACGTAGAAACATCGGATTAAACTATGCAAAAATAAGGCCAGCTTACTTCGTTATAAATTCGGTGGAAATAGCTCGAATCAAAACCGAATAGAGCAAAAGATAAACACTATACTGGAGGGAAGCGTGAAAAGCCTTTATTTCATTGGCTGATGTTGACTGATGTATATTGATAAGAACGGTCGAACTCCGAGCCATACCTGAATTTTTTCGCAATGTCGAGGTTATCAAGAAGGCGGCCTGACCCTTTTGTAATCATGTCGGGGTTGCTGTTTTAGCCGATATGATGCAAAACCCGAAATCGACAATGAAATGGTTCTAGATGCTGAGTGCATCACAGAAGACTACCCTTGATGCATCTGAAATGTATTATTCAACTCTGAAAGATAATTCATGTTTTAAGTGACGCCAACGTACAAAAAGGATGTTTCTCTTGCATGGGTTTGTGTGTGCCGCTCCCATATATTTAATTAATTTATTCTGTTTTTTTCTTCTTCTCTCACTTTTTGCTTAATTTTATTTGGTATAATTTTAATGATATATATATATATATATATATATATATATATATATATATATATATATATATGTGTGTGTGTGTGTGTGTGTGTGTGTGTGTGTGTGTGTTTAGTAAAATAAGCCTGTTTTTATCTCAATGGAAACAGCTTACTTGGCGACGAGTAATATAACTTACGTTCCTCTAGGTTCACTGCTGATGTTCTAAATATCATAACACACAGAATCAGTGATGCATTCGATAATAAACTACTCACGAGAGCGACCGTTTTAGACATCTCAAAGGGTATTGAAAAGGTGTGGTATTGAGTTTCGCTACCCAACCTGTCCAGCTATGGATGGTTGTTGCTTTCCCATCAGATCAAGACTCACTACTCGGTTCTACTGTGTTTATGCTTATAATAACGATCTGCCTAAAAAAGTCTAAATTGTTAGTAAATATCTCAGTAGATGTTACTAAACACTATCGGTGCATTTATAAAAATCCATATGATCAGAGCCTGACAGCTGATCTCTTATCTGACCGGAATCTAACAGTTTGTAAATGGTAAAAAGTTGCTTCTAACTCTTAGTACCCCTAAAAACCAAACTTGCGGGTATGAAGTTCCATGTGTGCTGAAAAATCAAATTGGGAATTCAAAGAGAAAAGACAAACTTTTCTCCTTTCATAAAAAAGTGTCGCAATTCCTCTTAGTCTAGTTTATTTTGTTTTACAGAAACAATAACAGATAAGTAATAAAACCTAGCAGTTCCCGATTTTTAAATATCAATTTATTAAAAACGTCTTTAGTGATAAAGATTTGCTTGCTTATTTAACTTTTTAATTAAAGTAGGAACCGCTGTGTTTAATATGACGAACATTTTGGTACGTTTATTATTAAATTCTAAACGTGTGGATTCGTATACATTTTATAGTTGTGGCACAAAGTTTAACATCACTCAATATATGTTTTTAACAAAAATCTCAATACCTTAATAATAAAAGGCAGTACTTCAGTGCATAAAATTTATTAAAAACAGTTTCTTCCCCATTAATGTCAATATAAACAGTATTTTTATGAATACCTTTCTCTGAATAACCGCTTCAATGCTACGTGGTATGCTAGATATGAAACTCTTAGTATATTTTGCTTAAGTGGTCCAAACGTCCTTGGTAGGGTTGACAAGAGCATTGGCATTGTCTAGTTGCTTATCTATAAACTTATTCTGTAATTTCTATAGATTTTATGGAGGTTAATACGTTGCGTGTTTGTGTGTATTTTAGATGTATGCATGTTCACATATGATAAACCATTAAGAATCATAAAAAAATTATGTTTCCATTAAGAACCGTTTATTATGGTGAATGTAGTGAAATAAAGTGGTCTCAGTGTCTCTCGGATATGTTCGTTTTCCTTTTTGGTTCAGAACTTAGTTTAAGTACAGACATCGTATTAATGGTAAAGTTCAAGTCAGACTTGCGCATATTTGGAACGACCAAAGGAAACTTTGTACTTTATCGTTGAAAGTTTTAAACATGGTTATGGGATGTAAGTTTTTTG